GAGGGAGGGGAGAAAAAGCAGTAATGAAGACAGAGCCTGGCAGACGGGCAGCAGTGATTTGAGCAGTCAGCTAAAGCCCAGCCTTCAGACATTTTTGCCCTGTAAGAAGTGTCTGGGATCTCCGGTGGTTTCATCGCCTCGGGCCAAACTGGGGATGTGTCTGACTGGTGCTGCTGTGTTTCTCTGTGTTCTGCAGCGGGGACGGCACCATGAGGAAGAACATAGACGTGTGGAAGAAATGGACGACTAGCAACAGCCTGCACCTCCACGGGTGAGCGTGGGAGAGTGTGTGTTTGTGCCTTTTGTTACAACGTAGGAATTCGTGCACTGGTGTGGTAGACCAAATTGACTAAACGACAAGGGAATGGTGTTCTTTTCGTGCCAATTTAAAAAAAAAAAAAAAAAAGAATGTTGGCAGTATTACAGAGTGTGTTTGTGTTCACCAGGCTCCAGCTGCGCATCGCAGTGCGCGGTGTTGAACAGCTGGCTGTGGGAGGGAGGATGGTGTACTCCACCTGTTCACTCAACCCTATAGAGGACGAAGCTGTCATCGCAGCACTGCTGGAGAAGAGCGAAGGTAACAAACTTAGAAACACTCACAGGGCTGTACAATTTAAGCGGTGTGTGTTTATCTCTTTATTCAAATCAAAGTTCAATTTTTGTTTTGTTTTATGCACTTCAGTTTTTACTTTTTTTTTCTGTTACTGAAATGCGTCTTTATAAAAAGTCTATTGACCTTATGGAGCCAGCTCATTGTTTGGTTTGTCCCATTTCCTCATTTGTCTCTTACCTTTCTGTTACTGGCTATAAACCCAAGTCAGTAGTCTTTGGAAAATGTATAGCAGGCTGGGTGATCATGGCAAAGGTGGGAAATAACAACCACATTTACGAGGAGTTCCTGTGGACCCCCATTCACGTTAGCGGCACAGATAACGGATTAAAAAGATGTGTTTTGTCACAGTGTTACCTTCGGCGTTTACTGACTTACAACTAGGGCTGGATTCGAATATTTGTTTGCTGGGTTGGTATTCGATTTTCAATTTTGGGATTTGAATATTTGTCTTTTTTTGCACACCTGACATCCCTCTCACATCAGTGAACGTAACGCTCCAGTTCACATCAAAGGGCAAAATGCAGGGAGCACTTTAAATTGAGTGATGTGGCAGTTTATGGGGTTTATTAATGTTTACAGTTGCTTTATTTCATTACAAATCAAAAAAGTCAAATAGCCTACAATTAATCAGTAAACTGTAGGCTACAACAAACCCAAAAATAATGAACACATTTTAATAATTGCATTAGGCCTATTGTAGAAGAACATTTAATAGGTTATCTTAAAAGATAAAAGCGAATTTTGCATAATAACCCGGCTGAAATAGTCCGGGATTCTGCTCTGCTCAGCCTCTCACTCTCTCATCGACGGTTCCAACCCCAGCTCTGCACAGCAGCCAACAACCCTGTTCTGCAGCATCTAGTTTTCCACTCTGCCTCACTTTCCCCTGCTTCCCCACTCACGACCACCTCTTCCCCCATTTAATTCACCCTCACTCAAGTCATTGCCAGAACGTCTTGTGCATTTATCCTTTCTCTCCTCCGATCGATCTATTATCATAGCTATCTCTGAAATATATAGCTGGAACTCGTGATATGACAGCCTGCTTATCAACAGACGCCAAAACAATCAGCGTGGCGCGAAGTTGAGTGCCCCCGCCGCTACTGAAGCTTCGAAGCTCAGAAAATGGGTTTCCAGCTCACTCTGCTTACAGCTAGTTAAAAATAATATCTAAATAAAACCACTCGGCTTTTTCTGCAAAGTTGTAATGTCTTCCCCATCCCCATTGCCAGGATCGTTGGAGCTGGCCGACAGCTCAGCTGATCTGCCAGGGCTGAAATGGATGCCTGGGGTCACTTCCTGGAAGGTACTGGAACGTTAAGTCTTTAGCGGTCATTACAACAAACCAGAAAGGAAAGCTGTTTAGTTCACAGAAGTGCTTCAGTTTCCATGTCGGGCAGAATATTGTTGGTGATTACTTTGATCGGATCACACACTTAAACGGTTGTTGTCTCTGTAGCTGATGACCAAGGAGGGCCAGTGGTACTCTGACTGGTCCGAAGTTCCAAGCAGTCGTCACACACAGATCCGCCCAACCATGTTTCCGCCAAAAGACCCAGAGAAACTTGCTAGCCTGCATCTGGAGAGATGGTATGTACCCACCCACACAGTAAAGGTTTGTATAATTAAAAAATGTCAAGGACTCTGTTGATGACTTTTCCTAAGCCTAGGTCTTTTCCCATAATGCTAACACCCAAACCTTAATCTTTAAGTCTATGCATGGTCTGCTCAGTTTGGCTAAAGGCTTTATAGCCAAAGCAAATAGGAACAGTGAGAGCTGGAAGCCTTGTCTAACGCCTCTTTGAGTGCCAAAATAATCAGTGTATTCTCTTGAGTGCAGTAGCAAGGGGGCAAAAAAAAAAAAAAAAAAAAAAAAAAAATATATATATATATATATATATATATATATATATTATATATATATATATATATATATATATATATATATATATATATATATATATATATATATATATATATATATATATATATATATATATATATATATATATATATATATATATATATATATATATATATATATATATAGAAAAACAATTTCTCCTAGTAGGAATTTTTTTCAGGAAGGGCCATTAGGCGCTATCCAACTCTTCCCCTCTAAACCCTTATCTTAGCTGATTTCTCTTCTCTTCTTATTCCCCTGAGAGTATTTTGTCTCCATGAAAGCACACGCACTTGTAGTCGCTTCTGTTGTCATTGATGCCAAATTCATTAGCTGAATAACGTGTCTGATTTATTTTCTTGGCACAGCTTTACACACACACACACACACACACAGAGTCTACATGGATGCACATACATGTTCACACTTGCACACTCGCATAGTAGGGGGGATGACGTCATTTCTGCGATGCAGCGTTCACTTTAATACTCAGACTGACATGATGCTGGCCAGGAGAGGGAGCTGTTGTCACACGCTTAGCCCATTTTTATTTAATGCTGGGGGGAAAAAAAAGCCCTTGTTTATCTTTACAGTAGGTGGCACCATAACACTCTTATTTATGTTTTTTTGTGTGTATTTTAATGTCAGTATGAGGATTCTGCCACATCACCAGAACACTGGAGGTTTCTTTGTGGCTGTGCTGGTGAAAAAAGCACCGATGCCTTGGAACAAAAGATATCCCAAGGTACACACACACACACACACACACACACTCTTAATGGATGATTACATTGTTATTCTTACTTGAAAAGGGAAATGGAGCACATCACTCACCTGTTCGCTTTTATTAACTGCAGCTGGTACTTCTTTCTTTTTTTTTCTTTCTTTCTTTCTGCTTTGTCTGCTTGTCTCCCTCCCCATCGTCTCCAGCTGAGGAGGGACGTCCCGTCCATCTCAGCGGCCCAGCCTGAAGGCTCCCCAGAGGCCTCGACCCCCACAGACACTGCCGTGGAGGAGGGAGAGGGGGGAGGCCCAGAGGGAAAAATAGACGGGGATGCAGAAGAGGAGGCACCCAAAGGAGCTTCCTTGGCCCAGGAGAAAAGCGCTAAACAAGACGGAGTATGTGGGTGAGTCCTGTTGATCTGGGGAGCTAATAAACAAAGGAAAACTGCAAGGTCTTAAGCCATTATTAAACAAACAATAAATGACCTACATTGCTTTAAATGAGTAATGACTCTTTGGATTAACGAGCCCATCATTGGTCCCGAAGAAATATGTAAATTGTAAGCAATTTCTGTAATTAAATGTCGGCCACAGACGTCGATATGCATGTCGTCATTAAAAGCTCATAAAAGTTCTTACTCAATGAAAGCTTTGTTCAAACTATTGACATGGGATGTTTTTACAGCACAACCAAGTATGGGTGGTGCTGTAAAATTTGGAATTTTAAAATGAACATAAATAAAGGATTTGAGTCTTAAATGAATGTCTGTGCTGTCTCTCTGTTTCTCAGGCCTCCAGCCTCTAAGAAGATGAGGCTGTTTGGTTATAAAGAGGACCCCTTTGTGTTCCTTACTGAAGATGACCCCGTCTTCACCACCATACAGTAAGTGTCTCTGTGTGTATCAGACACGGAAATGATCATTTTCAGCACTTTGGTGTAGCAAAACAAGTTTCCCCCACCCCTGTGCTCTTTAGATCTTTCTATGATCTGTCACCCAACTTCCCCAAGCTCAATGTTCTGACAAGGACCCACGAGGGCAAGAAGAGACACCTGTACATGGTGTCCAAAGAGCTCCGCAACGTGCTGCTCAATAACAGCGAGCGTATGAAGGTGTGTGTATATTTTTTGTTTTTGGAACAGCATTTCGCACATCACACACATTGAAAACCTGGTTTGATGACAAAGCATTTCCTAGCATGGAAATCTTATTAAAAATGGATACAATAAATCACTTATCAATTATTTCCTGCGGACTATGCATCTGGTATTGATCAAACTATACAGTCTAGTCAGACTAACTGCATCATGTTTGTTATACCTGTTTTTTGGTACAGACATATTGGCTTTACATTTCTACATCAGTTTAGTTTTGTAGTGTGTGCTTTTGGGTGCAGCCTAACAGATGGGACTCTCTCCTATCCACAGTCCCTCTGGTCCTCCACTCTGTAGCACCTGCACAGGTGGTGCTGTGTGCGCCTCAGTGTCTTTGTTCTCCTCTTTGTGTTTGATGTTTCTTAGTCACTTTCTATTGGGCTAAACCACAGTGAATCTCCACTCCATTGCCGATTCTGTCTGTGGTAATTGGAAGAGAATGACCTATTTTCACTTCCCTTCTCTATAAAATCTTGTTTGGCCTTTTCCAGAATGTTAATAGTTTAATATTATTTAATATCCATTTTCCTTTTTTTAAATTATTATTTTTTTTATTTAACCAGATGATCTCATTAAAATTTAAAACCTCTTTTACAAGAGAGACCTGGGCAAAATAGCAGCATATTGACAGAGCATAGTTACAGATAAGAACACCAGACATACCCGCAACAACCAAAGACATTCAACGGCCCTTAACAGTACAACTTTAAGACTACTTAAAAGCATAATTTGTACATAGGATTTAGGAATTACATATTTTTAAAGCAGTGACAACCGTGACAATAAAGAATTGGTAAAGAATTCAACATGCATAATTGTTTCAGAGGTGTAGTATTTTACTTTGCAAATCACTGACAGCTGCCTACCACTCCTGCTGGGACCCCAGAGACCAGCTGCACTCTGTTTACCAACAGTTTTGTAATATCTTAGTAGATGCCTTCAGCAAGGCAGTTTGGTGAACATCAGTAATTACAAAAGACAATACCAGTACTACAACAAGACTAAAGTAACTTAATTTGTCCTTTTTATTTTATTACCCCCCCCCCCCTTCATTATGTTTTCAGGAGAGGGATTAATTAGTGCAGTTAAAGTCAGTAGAATCTGGCATCATTGTGTTGTTTTCGTACAGAGCCATATGTCAGAATGCTTTTTTGTTGTTGTTGCTCAGGTCGTTAACACAGGGGTGAAGGTGTGGTCTCGCAACAGTGATGGAGAGGAGTTTGGCTGTGCCTTCAGACTGGCTCAGGAGGTAACGCACACACCGTTTTTCAGCACGGCACCATGAACATCTCTTTTCATTCTCGCATTAAATCATCAGTGGAGTGAAAATCATTCTCTGTAAATGTACTTGTTCTTTGTTGAGCAGCTTATTATTAATTGGAAGCGGTAGTATTGTGAAAACATAACCTTCTCTTCACACGTTAGATGCACGTTCTCTCACATCTCCCATAATCCTCTTTTTGTATGCAAATCAACCTCATGATTTGAAGTGATGCAGAACGATATGTGTATATATCTAGGACTTCACCACCATACATATTCTTTGATTTTATAATAAACTTCATTGTGAAAGCAGCGCCTCTTTATGTTCAAACAATGCAGGAAGTTACTCACCACAGAGGCAATGAGCACCACTGAATAACTAGCTGAAGTTCTAATTCATTTTATATGCACCGCGTTACTGTAAATAATGTTTGTCTCTTCTCTGTCCTACAAGGGTATCTACACTCTTCAGCCGTACATTCGCTCCAGGATAATCCGAGTGAGTGTGGAGGATATCAAAGTGCTGCTGACCCAGGAGAACCCCTTCCTCAGCAAACTGGAGGACGACGCTCACGCTCAGGCCAAGAAAATGGGTACGCTCTGCAAAAGATTTTCATTTCAAAATATTAAACCATGTATTCCAAATTAAAACAGCACTCAAGAAAAGTGGTGTAATTAATATTACTACATATTTTACTGCCAGAAGTTTCTTTTTGATACTGACAAACAAAATAACTAGAAGAATTTGGGAAGCAGCCCAGAGGTTAGAGTAGTGGATTAGTGACTGGAAGGTTTCTGGCTTGGCAGGCATAAAGTGAAAGAGGAAAGCGAGTGAGTAATGCTCGGTCTTCCTCAACGACTGACATTGAACTGCCCTTGAGCAAGGCACTGACTCTCCAAAGCCTTACAAGAGAAGCTGAGCAGTTCAGTTACCCTGGGTAGTTCTCACATAGCATGGAGTATCTTACATTGAAATGGTGTTTTGGATTAGTCCATTGTTGCTTTGTGGTCATTTATCTCTGTATTCTCTCTGCAGTTATGGGTAGCATTGTGTTGAAGTACATTCCCAACCCAAAGTAAGTTTGTTGTTTATGTGTGTATGTGTGTATGTGTGTGTGTGTGTGTGTTTTGTATGCATGTTTTATTATCCTTTTTGAAGCGATGTCTTCGTTCACCCACCATAACCTTGTGTTTCCCAGTAACCCATCGGAGCCTCAGTGTCCCATCCAGCTGTGTGGCTGGAGGGGGAAGACATCCATCCGAGCCTTTGTCCCCCGCAATGAGAGGTTTCATTACCTCAGATTGTTAGGCGTGGAGGTGTTCAGGGACAAACAGGGCCAGGGGCAGAAACGGAGGGATGAAGAAAAGGAGGGTAAGGTGGAGGATGAGGTGGAAAAGGACGCAGTGGAGGAAGGGCAGGCGGAAAATGAGGCAGAGGTGGACGCTGAGAACGGTGATAAAAACCAATCATCAGAACCAAAGCCCGACAGCGGCAACAAGGGGACTAGCAGCTGAGAATCAAGAGGAGACAACAGAGACAAAGGAGGATTGACTGAAACGTATTGGAGCTCTAATAACTGGTGACGAGGTCAGAGACCACATTTTGCGGTAGAGGAGGGTGACGTGCCTCCCATGGGTTTCTCCGTTTACCACACTGCCACTGCAGAAGAATTCCTTCCTAGAGATGGACTCCCTTGGGATACTAAATGTTTCAATCCCCTCCAGGTGTCCGCTTTTTAGGTATATCGGTTATCTTATTTTATTTGGTTGTTTTTTTTATTTTATATTTTAACAAGATTTATTCCACTAACCAAGTGACATCAGTTTTATTTCAGTTGCTCATGTTCAGAGAGGTTTATATGAACTGCCATCTCATTTTCTACACTTGTAATTAAGCAGATATATGGAGTTGATTAAAAGTGTTAAAGGTTAACTGTGTCACCACCTGTTTGTACTCATTCTTTGTCTACTGAAGTATTAAAGCCATGCTTGTGAAGGGGTGGTTTTGGTCCAGACAGAATCAATCTGCTATGAGGAATAAAATAGTCTATATGGTAGGATGAACCACTAAAGAATTCACTACATTGATAAACAAACTGACATTTATTTTACCTGCGTTTTCATATTGTGTTTTTAAATGTAGAATAATGAAAGAAATAAGCTAAAACCATCAAAAATCACCCTTTAAAAAACCTTTAAAAGCGCAGGCAGGTCATGGCTACGGCTGGTGATGACGGCTCACGTTTGCAGCTCGTTACATGCTACAGCTTTCAACAGGCCAGTTTTCCTGGTTGACGTTAGTCTAAAATAAAGACTGTCAGATGCAGCTATGATGCTGTAAGCCCAAAGGACATCTGGAGACTAAACATGTCTCTTATAGTCAACAAAGATATAGTCTGTGTTGTTATGTATTTATCTTCAACTAAGTTGGGTAAATGACCAACAGATCGCATGTGTGCCTTTTAGTCCTTGAAAACCTAAAACCATCATAAATTCAAACAATCAGCACAGGTATGAGAGGGTGCTAATGAAGAAAAATCCCTATGAAGTGGGTGTAAACAAGGGTCTCTAGCCATGCTAGCAGCTTTGTGAGGCTATACATCGGCACAGAGGTAACTTTGAGTTAGGCAGGTGATGTTCACCATCTTTGTTTAGCAAGTTGGCACAAACACAAAGTGTTGGGAATGTCGTTATTTAGTTATAACGTATTACATATAAAGTATTGGGCAAATTGATGTGATGATAGTGCTTGATGAAATATCAGGGAGTTACCAAAGTTATAACAATGAGCAACGTCACCAAATTCATTAGGACATAACTTGAGAAATTATGTATTTTATTTGTGTGTGTGTATATATATATATATATGGTTACATGTGTAAAATTTATGAGGATCTATCGACACAACTCCATAACTATGTTTTCAGTGTTGTATAAAGACCTTACATAATAAGCCATCATGTTTTTATTACCTTAGAATGAGCCATTTCTATCTGCATACACCGCGGGTCCTCTTACGTGGAAGTCGCCAAGTTGTTACAGTAGCCCGGACAGACAAAAGTCGCTACAGAGCGCGTTTTGCCGCTATGTTTAATTCGTCCAAAGAAGTTGTAGTAGTAGTTGTCGTTGTTGTTTTATGGTTTATTAGAAGTAAGAAAAGAAGTGAAATTTGGACAAATGGAGGAGCACACATATTGTTTAGCAAAAGTGCGAACAGAGCGTGTCAGCCACCGTAGCTTCTCCTGCATGCTTGAAAAGGGAGCAGTGTGGGGTGACTGATGTGCATTGATGTGGTGTCAGAAAAATCTGAAATATTTTTGTCCTCCTTAAATCATTAACATGGGACATACATAAGTATACAGAACTTTGATTTGTGCAAAATCACGTAAACACAACATGTAACTTCTAATATGGTTACAGTAAGTTTGCTGTCCATGTAGAGTGAACTAGATGTCTGTGTGTTGTTTATATGCTCTCATAATGTTAATCCAACGCATCTTTGTAGAGCGTCCTTGTTGATTCAACATTCCGACTTAAAGAGGCTTCGTTTTAGCTATGGAGTGATACATCTTGTCTGTAAATGATCTTTGTTGGGAGTTCCACATGCGCAGTTCCTAGTTAAGGACTACTAGCCAATCAGAAGCAGAGAAGGGCGGGTCAGCGAAAACAGCTTTGATTCAGCTGTAGGCTACATGTTGCCGACCAGCTTGGCAATATGGACTGGAGCAAGAGCTTCAGAGTGGTGAGTTATTAATCTGTAACAAAAGTATCTTTCATCCATAAAGTTTTAACTGAGCTCTGTCTCTACATCAAAGTAACAACTTTATGTCCATTGAGTGCCTGGAGGGTAGCTAGTGTTTGGACGGGAGAGGAGAGGTGCTGCAGCTCAGTATTTTTCCACCACTGTTTTTGAGGGCGTGTCAGACTAGTCGCTCGGTGAGCATTATGACAGGTATTTACTGGTGACATCACAAGAAAGCGGAAGTAAAGGCTGGACTACAAACAAGCTTTTTTCAGGCAGTTTAGAGCAGAGTTTCCTGTAGGAGATGGGAACTCCCTTTGGGGTGGGCTTTTTCACTTTGCAAACCTATAACATGCACAAAAAAGATATATAACTCAATAAAGGAGAGGGAAAAAGCCAAAAAGCATAATACTACCTCTTTAAGAGCACATGAACTCACACTGAAGTCGGAAGAATGACTGCACAATTTGGGAAATGGGACCATCTGTGGAGCACGTGAATGCGCTGAGTCGCTTGTTGCAATTTGCAACCCTCACCACTAGATGCCACTAAAACGTACATACTTAACCTTTTTAAAGAAGGCTGTTCTTCCCTCAGACTACAGCATTTCTTTAAGTGATGATCAAAATATAAAAAACACGAAAATGAAACTTCCCATGACAACAGCATAATTGCCCCATCTTGTCAGTGGTTGCCACGGCAGCTTCACTGGACGCAAATCTCTGCTGTTTATCACCCAGTCCAGCTGCCATGACAACAGCCGTCATGACAACCAGCCCCCTCACCTCTCTCTGGTGACAGGAGGCGAAAGAGGGACCATAGAGAGCATCCTGTACCCTTCCAATCTCCTCATTTCCTTCTCCCTGCTCCCTCTTCACTTCTCTTTTTTGTCCTCTGTTGTCCCTCGTTCCCTCCTGTTTTTTTTTAACTTGATCTGTGACCTCTAAAGTGCATGGCAGTGGGTATTACCACGCAGCAGAGCGGCTGTCATGTCAATTCCCTCGGCTGTGGACATGCCAGTGACAGTGCTGTTCGCAGAGGCAGCAGGGGACAAGTCTGGGACAAGAAGAGTCAGTGTTTGGGTTACATGCGAGGATCAAGTAAAGAGCAGACTGTTTTCAAGGAAAGCAAAGGAACATTTTGACCAACGTAGGCTGATGCTTACAACGTCTATTCATAATATTATTTCATTATTGTTATAGTTTTTCTTTCCAGTTATCTTCTATTATGTTTTGACTGTCTTAAATGGATATGTAAAGTGTCATTGGGTGACTTGAACAGCACTTAAAAATAAATGTATTATTATGATATGATGACAAATGAAGGATGATGATTAGTGAACAACATGGCTGGAGGAGAGCTTTTGGAAAGGATAAGCAAAATCCAGGAGAGACGAAAGAAAGATTTGGATTTTTGAATTTCAAAAAAACCCAAAAACATGTAGTAGGTATTTCAACGTGAAGGTGAAGCCACAGCAGAGGGGGGAGCTGCTCGTGGAGTCAGTCAAGGATGAACGAGGAGAGAATAATGCCCACTTTTTTTGAGCTGAGTAGAGGATAGCACATGAAAATGGAAGGAGTTGAAAATGATAAAAGCCTTGGGAGGATGAAGAGAGATGAGTGGATGGAGGGTTAGAGAGAGGGTGGGGATGAATAAATTGAATTGGACAGATAGAGAAAGGTTTGGAGATAAGGCAAAAGTTGTTACTGAGTCATAGGCCTGTCTGTGTGCGTGGGAGTGCGTGTTCGAGTTAAGCCTGCGTGTGAATATGTGTGTATGCTGCAGCTAAGCCTGTCTTTGTGTGTTTAAAGTGTGTGTGCTGGTTTGTCAGTGTGAGTGATGTCTCCTGCATTTTAGCTTCAATGTTTACTGCCAACCTACTAATACTAGTAATGACACCAACTCCGCACAGGGACGCATAGATTAACTTTATGTCTTCTTCCTCCTTCATCCTCTCCCATCCTCTTCTCGTCCTTCCTTCTTTATTTTATATTTAAATTTCCATCCAGCTCTTGTCTCTAACTTTATTCATACCACTCAGTTCCTCTTTCCATTTTGATTATCTTTCTCTCTGGAAGAGCTTTCTGAAAAGCACTCACGGCCTCCCAAAGCTCAGATTCTAAAATGTTCTCAAACTGTCTTCTCAATTTAAGTCTCTGCTTTTAGTTCTCCCTCAATACACCATTTTATCGGAGCTGTGTTGTTCCTCCACCCTGCAGGTTTGTATGCTAGATTGAAATATTTTTCAAGACTTCAGAGACATTGTATCGGGAATTGCAAGAACAAACATTCCTTGAAACCTGAAAGTATTAATTCTCGCTAAATTCATGATTTGGGTATTACTGACAAAAATATTTTATTATGTTTTTATTTTATAAATTACATTTTAGTGTAGTAATTTTTCTTCAATAATCTTTCAACAATATTGCATGTTAACATGTCAGCCAGTGTTTAAGTACATTGTCGCTGTCTCGTCATCGTCTCGTTTTAGTCAGGGGAAAAAAAGGTTGTTGACCAACATATTTCGTTTAGTTTCGTCTGAAGAAAGTAACGCTACCAGAAACCCCAGTTCCTTCTGTTATTTTCCTACAGTTTTGCCTTACATCTGTATGTTAATGTTTAAAAGTGCGAAAGATCAGGCTGAAACATTTTCAGTTAGTGAGCAGCTTTGCCTCAGTCCATGCTGCCACAGGTGAATTTTCACGTTTGCACCCACTGCTGTCTGTCTATTGACTGTATCCAATCATCTCAAGCATAAAAATTGCCTTGACTACACCTTTAGCCGCTTTTAGCTTTTTTTTTTTTCTTTTCTGATTATTAAAACCCGGTCCCGGAAATTCTGCTCTCATCAGCCCTGTCTCAAGCTCCAGCAGCAGAAAGTGTTGTCAGCTTATTGCCAGGTGTCCAGAAACCCAAATCCAAATTAATGTTATTGTTACTCTGTGTTAGTTGAATTATATAACCAGGAAAATGATAACATGTTGATTGTTGCTAACAAGAATGATGTTGTGTTTTCAGCTTCTTGTTCTAAAGTTACTCTCGATTCACATAATAATATATTATTTTTAAATTATTTGGTGTGTTCTCAACCCAGTTTGAGGAACATTTTATGATATTTATGATATTATATAATTTGACATTGATACATCATCCTTTATTTGCCATCTTGCACTATTTAAGGAAACTAATGACATAAAACATTACGCCTCCTGTGGTCACTTGTAGATGAGCTTACATTAACATGAATGGATTTATA